AAACCTCCAGATCACGGAGCTGAAAACAGGTTTTTTAATCCACATATCAATAGTTGTCGTGGCAGAAACATATTTTACGGGATTTTTTGGCGATTGAAACAACTTTGTGGATAAACTCGTCAGATTTTATAAATAAATAGATATGTTCAGGATTAAACAGTTATAATGATATAAAATGTTGCTTTGAAATATTATCCAACTACTTCTGAAGGCAAATTTCGGAATAGTATTGATATATGTAAACCTTCACATCGCTAAACAAAACAGAGCTTCAACTGGTAGAGGGCCAATGAGTCCTGTAAAAGCCTGTCAAGATGATCTGAGTCACTTTATCTTGAACTATTTCACCGTATTGAAGATTTTGGGTGGCTGTTTTATCTACTGTACACAAAGTAAGACGTAGAAGAAAAAATAATATATTTCCTAGTAAAATTATCAGGTACAGCGGCTAGAAATGGATAAATACCTCATAAGTCAATAAAGCATCATTGCAATAGTCACTGTCACATGTGGACTTACGCTAAACTTTTCCTTAACAAAAACTAGACAGGAGGCCACTGTGACTAGTAGCTAGCAACCAGCTCTCCAGTTTTTGTTTAGAAATGTGATGGGTAACATGTAGGCTACGGCATCGAATTCTGTAATGACTCTTCACTGAATTGTTATGTGTTTATGCATTATCTGGTAGGTGTGTTTTACTCTGTTCGTCGCCCATCACCCTATGGTAATTGGTTATACTCTTCAATATTAGTTTTTAACGTCAAAGTTTGGTTAAAAATTATCTTTGTCTTCGTCGGTGTGGCCGTTATCTTACTGTGAAATTGAGAGTCGTTTTTTAATTCAACTTTTTTTTCTAGTAGCCTCGATGATTGCTACAGCCTTTCCTCTGTAGGGTAAAATTGCCAAGGATAACATGGCTCCGATCATCTTAGTAATTGCTGTTTATATTTTATGTTTGAATCTCATACACTAATTCATTATCGCCAGATTTCCCGGTTTGGAAAAAGAACAATGTTTTATGACATAACCGTATTCAATTGTCATATATATATTTTGACGCGCACTGAAATATACAAGATATATATTTTTCTCCTCATTTATGATCCCTCGTGAGCCGTGGGAAGGTTAATGTGTATCGGTTATGTGTCTATGATTATATATGTTTTTCTTATCTCTATTGGTCTTTTCTTGCTTGTGTTTTATCATAGGGTCGATGTTTATAATATGTTATTTATTTTAGCCGAGTGATCTCATCGTTCTATGCAACACATTGTTCTGCTTTTCATAGTGTTTATACAGAGTGCTTGGGAAATATGTTTCATAATTCTGGGGTGTATTGCTGAGACATACATAAGGGTAAATGACGTCATGACCATAGTGCCAGTGCCCCATACCATAGTTTCTGAGTTATACCACAAAATTGGGTAAGGGAGGACTGCAACAAGTCTATGGACATAAAACATAAAATATCAAATCCTATTTAAAGTAAGAGGTGACAGTTGAGTGAGTCTGTTGACAATCCACATGCAGTCACTTGTATACATCTCATTAGGTACGATTCGCGATCTGTGTTTGGGCTGGCTGGTATTATGGGTGACCTTATTGACCCATATCTGCTACTCCAGCGACTGACAGGTGGAACATACATTTTCTTGAAGACACTTTGCTAGTTATGCCCATCAGGGTATATCAACGGCTATGGTACATGCATGGTGGTGCCCCCAGCTCATTTTGCTCCAGTAACAACGGAATTCCTAAATGTTGGGTATCCTGGTAGGTGGATAGGGCGTGGTGACCTTGTTCCATGGTCACCTCCCTCACCTGACCTATATCCCCCTGAATTCTACTTGTGGGGTCATGTTAAAAGTAAACTCTATGTATGGTAATCATGAGGTGCCGGCAGTTTGAACATTTACTATAAAGTCCATATCAAATTGCATATGATAAATACATTGTACTAGTAACTGGATATTTCATGTAAACTCCGTAGATTTTATCGCATTCCAACCCCAACTTTCATGTGTTATAACTCTGAACCTACAGTATGGGGTTTGAACACTGTGGTCATGAAGTTAGTTATTTACCCTTATGTATGTCTCACGAATACGCCACAATAATGAAGCGTTATCCCGAAACACCCTGTATACCCTATATAAATAATGTGTGTGTGTGTCAGTCAGATCGAATTATTGTTAATGTAACTGATACCTTTTTATTTGTTTCCATGATAACGAGTGTTTTAGTGCGACCATCTTCGCCTGCCTCGCACTGTCGTGAGTTTTCTCCATTATGGTATAATTAGATAAATGAAACACATAAGATTGTATGAAAATTGACTGTGAAGAATTGTCATTTTTTATATCCCTTCATTATTTGTTTTATTGGACATTTGCTGGATATTGGGCTAAGCTAATAATTAATGTTTCGTGTCTCCTTAGAAGGGCTGCTTGTCGCCCACTTCGTCTAGCGTATGTGATCTTCACTCAGTTGAAAAATTGGAAACCCATCTGGGGTTAATAAATATTCTGAAAGTGAAAATCCTCGCACAGGTGTCACTTTAACTCGACACATGACGAATTGGACTGTTTTTTCTATTATGCCGTGGATGATGGCTAATGGGGTAATGATATTCTTATGAGGCTTATTAGATAAACGTGGCACTCAAGGCACCTCAAGTTTCACCTCCACCGAATATTATCTTCTATTCTCTGGTGTTAGATGTCACATGAGGGAATTTTACCCCTGAATAAACATCGTTACATTTTCCTATAATCTTGTATGTCTGGTAGAATTTGAATATGGTTGTATTGTTATTTACTTTCAGTGGTGTTCACGACGGCCATAACCTCCATCTACAGGATTACATTACGTTTACTCTTGCACTGCTACAACTAGTTAATTTGTCGTCATTATGCTACAAATTATTGTTTCATTATAACTGCTGATAAAACAGTTGAGGAAGAAGTTAAAGAGGTTTTAACGAAATTATGTTATTTTCAATATTAATCTTACATAATACGGTCCTGACTGTATGTAAACATGACTGTGTCGATGTAAGGTAATAACAAAGGGCCGTAGGAAGTATTGAGAGAGAGAGAGAGGGCCGGGTGGGTCCCAGGTTCCGGCCTGTTTTACATCTGAGACATAACGTATTCCCGGTGACTGTGATAAGTGTTGGAATTCCCCACGTAAAGCGAAGGTAAGGTAGAGAACCACCCGGCGGTAAGACTATCTGGGGCTACACACACAGGACAGTGATATAGGTACCTTACGTCCGATGGTGTTTATATAAAAGACGTCCGTTTCTTCGATTGTCCAGCCTTGTGAACACTAGAGAGAGGAATGTTTGACCTTTTTATGCTCCTCTGTTCTTTCAACAGGATATAATTATTGTACAATATTCTCCCGTAAGATTTTGTGTATTTTATTATTTGTTACGTATTTTTTTATTTCATGAAGAAGTTTTGATCGTTTTAATTTTTAGTTCGTTTGTGTTGTGAGAAAACGAAAAGCTATTGTCCATCCTGACGTCATCTCATTGTCATCATCCGGTTAAGTGGAGCTCCGTAGCCATAAACAGACGAGTGTTTGTATCTGCTCGCAGTGCTTTAAGTATTAATTAAATGCTTTTTCATTTAGCTATCAATTACATTTTCTCTGGGCAAGTAATTAATAATCCGGAGAGAGGTAACTATATACAGTAGTTAAAAGCCTTACTTTACACTTCATTCTCCTTAATTCTGTCTCGTACCGCACAGTGAGTGTTACCTCATTCTTTACTTCATGTTTATTCCTGGTTTTTTACCTATTTTCGTAACCTTTAAGTTTTGCCTTTCTCTCCAGCATCGTATATCTCGCAATCTCCCTTTTCACTTATCTGTTAATCCACATCCATATATACTTGTTTCTCTTGGTTACACTTTATACGTCTCAGTTTCTAAGTCTTCCTCTAACTTCTGGTTCTCATTCTTAACTTTTTGACAACTCCCATATTTTTTAAAACTCTTTCATCCCTTTGTCTTAAACACCACCAACTCGTTCCCCTTCCCTCACCGTCCTTGGTCCCATGATGCAACTGACCCCAATATGTGTATCGTTGGTGGCACGGGCACCAGCACGTTCATCATCACAAGGTCGTGTCTTTCTGTTCTAACAGGGCAGATGAGCCCCCGTCTTGTGAGCCACCAATCTAACCTGATCATTTATATGTCTGTTAGTACTGGAGACTAGTCACCTTGTATCATTGTCTTTATTTTATGAGTTTGAATTATGGTAACGTCCAGTGTAAAAGCTTCACGTGTGTTTTAATGTTCTAGGGTAATTGTGTATAGATGTATTCTGTGTCTTGCGTGTGTATACGTATTGAAAGGTAGTTATCTTTGTGTTAGTCGGCGCTTCGAATATTTTTAATGCAACCAGGATGTTTGTATACTATAGGTGTGACTTAGGTATTTTTATTCTTTGGTATTGGGTGTGTGCATTGAGGTGTCCTGAACACCCTCCCGACGTGTCCCACTCTCTCTGGCATTTCCTTTCTCCTTCCCCTTTACATTATCTTAAACTACTCTCCCGCATCTTACGCTTTTTTTAACACCTCTCACTCTTTTCTTCCTTGTTCTCTTACCTTTTTTCATACTTCCCTTCCTTCTCTACCCGCATCCTGCAGAGCACAGGTAAGGCCGCCAGACAACAGTGTGCCCATAGCTCAGGTAGGACTGACACCGAGTGAGGTTGCAACATGCTGGTGCTTCCCACACAACTGCAGTTAACATTTTCCCCAATTGTTGTTCTTTTGTCTTTCTTTTTTATACCTGAGCACCGAATTTCGGTTTTCGGAGTTTCATTATCTGTATTCACCGTCATAGAAGTACATTTTATGCTTGGTGTTTGATGATTTTAACGATTAATGCACAAAACAAAAATTAAGAACGTGGCACCTACCACAAGGCCACCGGTAAATACGTGTGCGGGAGCGGTGGGCAGTTCAGTCAAGAGTTTGGTCGCGGCGAGTGAAGTCGTGCAGCTGTCTCCTGGTCAAGAGATTCTCCCCGTGCGGGATTGCTTGACTAAAGACTGGGTTCTGACTATCTTGTTGTTTCAGAGGGTTACCATCATCTCTGGATTTTCATGTGTATCTAGTTACGGGTGGACTTAATCGTTCTCCCCTGGTACAACCTTGTTAACAACCAGAGAAGAAACTTAACACTCGGTGACCATCCCTGTGTACAACTTTTAAAAGTGATTAAGTTACTTCAGAATGTGACCTGTGAAAAGTAAACCTAGAGTGTTGTGACAGACTGAAATAAGAATCTATTGTTGTGATTAAACAAGACAGTTCATACCTTCCTGTGGTAATAAAACAAAGCAAGATGATTGAGAAACGCAACTGGAGATTGGCGAGAAGACTAAGCAGAATTTCGGTGTGTGGAACTTTATTTTTTTTATTATCAATTTTGTTAGTTTCTTCCGGTGTGTTTCTTACGGAGCAAATTTTGTTGAGTCCTTGTGCTCGTTCTGTTAAGATTCGGGTTCATTGCGGTTTCATAGTGCTGTTAAAAAAACTTACTTATGTTTTGAAGGAAAAAAACGAACGTATATTACCATTTGTTTAGGTGTATTAACTGCCTTAGTTGACAAGCAAGAGGTGTGCGTCACGTCCCCTGTAGAGATGTGAACCTATACCACAAGACAACCCAAGTACTTCCACCTTACGTCAACTGGATCACGCCCAAGTTCCTTTTGTACACTGACCTCGGAATACTGTAGAATATTCCATTGGTAAGGCTATGCAATTATAATTTGCCCCGCGAGGGTGCTAGTTTATTGGGCACCCCCTTGCATCCTGTGCAAGGTGAAGCTCAAAAAGCGTTTACAGGTCATGGGCAGGGCTGGATTCAGGAGTGGGCAAAGTGGGCAGCTGCCCACGGGCCTCCACAATCTGGGGGCCTCCACATATTACAATATTTTATTTATTTGTTTATTCATTTGAATTATTTTTATTTTCATTCTTTAAAATTCATGTTTATCTATTCCATCACGTACAACCATGTTCAGCAATAATAACATATTCTTTTCTGTGAAGTCTCTTGAACATTTTTGACATGTGCGGTAGTAGCTATATCAGGGCTGGTCGACTTGAAACCACATGAATGACTCCAGTCATGTCTCACTTTTGTGTGTGTGTGTGTGTTGGGAATTTGTACACTATCAATAAATATACAGTTAATTAAAAATTTCTCAATGTTCTAATTTCCTCAATATAACTGCATATGGCTTCAAAATTCTCCAAAGAAGTGCTCAAATTTCAAAATTTTCCCAGGGGGCTTACAGCGCCCCCCGGAACTCCCAGATGTTTAGGCTCGCTTCACTCGCCACCCCACCCTCTTGGGTAGTTATAATGAGGGGGGCCTCCACAAAGAGGCTGTCCATGGGCCTCCACAGGTCTAAATCCGGCACTGGTCATGGGTCTTTCAAATTTTCATTGATGGCAGACCAAATCTGGACTCCTGTTGACTCGATAATTATTCTACACAGATGACGACTAGTGTGTGGAAGGCTCACGTGCATACGACGTTGCCAGAGTAATTAATGAAACACAAGATGCTGGTCTTTTCTTACATTGCCATCTTTGTAAACGTTTAACAAGTGGATACTAAGTGGGTCGATCGTTATCACCAAAATGCATGACTTTTTGTGATTCATTAAGTTAACTTCGAATGTTCCTTTATTTGGGATACAAATATATCATTTAGTTACAGGATAATATTGAGTGTAGTTACTGCGATGTCCAACATATTTAATGGATGCAAATCCTTAAGAAAGTCGAATCACTAATTATGTTTGTATTATTGTGTGGTGGCTACTCTGAGATACTTTAAATCAACTGTCACTTAAATATGGACATTTAGAGGACGGAGCCTCCGCCAGACCAGATGTGGGAGGGAACGACGACGCCACCTGTGTGTTGTGGCCTCCTGGACAATACTTGTTGCTCCAATTTTTTTATTTTTTTATTTTTTTTTTAATGGCAAATTTGCATGACGTTAATCTTGACACACTCCATCGGCTGGCTCTTCCTCGGGGCTTGACAGCTTCTCCCCATACGATACGTTAGTTGGCGATTATTTATTGTCTTCGTCTAGTTTATTAAGTGAAATAAATATTGTAGTATTTTAATACAGGAGTTTTTAGAGCACTTAATATTTTGATGTGTGACTTGGAGCTTGTCTGAAGTAAGGAGTGTAATGGATGATATCACTGTGATTCACCAACACGGAATGACTTACAATATATTTGCTCACAAGTCGTTTTAAATTGTATCCATTGACAGTACTTGGAAGGCTCTTGCCATCATGTTGATCAATATCTCCCGGGTACTGTGTAATTTACTCAAGCAGAGTTAAAGTGGTGAATGTGTATTAACGGTGTCTGCTGGCGTGAAGGTGGTATTAGGGGGCCTGGCGATGGTCCCTCGTTTGTGGCCGAGACCTTCCCTTGGAGGCTTTCTGTATATGGAAGGACGTTTGGCCAACCCCCGTGCAGATTATGCGGGTCATTCAGACATTTTCCGGGTGGGTGTGAAAGGGACTACTGATATGGAGGTGGTGGTGGTGGTGACGGTGACTGCCCTCTGTGTTAAAAGCTTAACAGGATGTATTTTGAAGAACTATAGTTAGTTTTAGTCGTTGTTAACGGACTGGTGTCAGGTGGTTCTCCCAGGATAGGTAGTACATTATTTTCACAGCTATGTTTCACTTTATGGTGCTCATGTAGTTAGTGGTGTTTAGGTGGCAACTTTATGTGGCTGCTTTTCATTTGAACCACACTTTATTGAGAAAAAAAAAATATATATAAACCGGTATGTATTAAATTGAAAATATATTAAAACAGTTTCTTTTGAAACTTTAATATTTTGTTTGTTGCTGAAGACAATGTTACAGTATTCAGATTCACACTTGACAACTGAATCCCTGGTAAATCAACCAATAGTTTTTCAAAGCCTCAGAAATGTACTTGTTTTATTTCCAAGGACTTAAAGAGATCAACATCGTGAACAATAAAATCCATATTTTCTAGTATTATTTTTTATCTTTTAAATGGTGTTGAGTTTATTTTAACCGTTGGTTCCTGATGACTATAACCACGGTGTTGAGTGTACTTATGGGCCGAAGGCAATAAATTTTTTTTCTTTGTGCTCTGAGGGTCAAACAAGTGGTAATTGTGTAACTTCTGGAATTCTCTTAATTATTAGTCGTGCAAGGAGACAATCCTAATTGTCTTTAACTAGTTTAAAAATTTTGTTTAAATACGTGTGTAACTTTTGTAGAAATTGATAAGTGTAAGATGTTCAGTGTGCGACCCTTGAACAATGTGCCTGTATTTTTGTCTAATTCGATCATCCTATTTTATTTGTGCAAAACGTTACTCGTGACGTAGCCTCGCTTAAAGCTCCTTGGTATTCTAGGCAGGTGTGACTCCGGGAATGTTTACATAGGAAGAATGAGGTAAATTCAAAAGGGCCTTAGAGTGAATAGCAAAAACAAAAGTATTGAATAGTGGTGTTGGTGAGTGACCAGTGGTGGAAAATAGCCATGTGTTATCTGTAACAATGGTGTTGGATGCAACTCGGTAATATAGTGTGATAGGTGGTACTCAAGAGGTGCAGTGGAGTGGATAGTAGACTGCTAGATGTTACTGGCTTGAAGTGTTCTGTAGGCTTATAGATAACCGTGTATCCATAGCAAGGCTGGAAAACTCAACATTGGGAATATGTCCCTGGACTGTATCAATGAGTTCTGTTGCCTGGGTGATATGAGCAGTGCCGTTGGGAGAGCTGAAGCCTGCTCGGTTGTAGGAGTCAAGTGGCTGGAGCAAGTTTAAGGAGTTGCTGCCTTTATTGATAGCAAGAGGTCCTTCCCTCCCCCTGAAAGGAAGAATTTATATGGTTGGCGTGAGAAGTGTAATGCTGTTTGACAGTAAAACATGGGCAGGGCAGGTGAAGAGGATGACATATGCAGGCTAGTGCAGCTGAAATGAGAATAGTGAGGTGGATGTGTAACGTCACACTGAAAGACGAGATGCCGTGTTCAGAGCTAAGAGGGCGGCTGGGTATTGAGTGTATCGGCGGGCTGAAATGTTTTGGACATGTGGAAAGAATGAATGAAACGAATTGGGTCAACAGGTGTACTGTATGATATTAAATGTGGAGGGGGAAGAGAGCCAGGGGAAGGCCATGAATGACTCGGGGTGAGGTTGTAAGACATGACATTAAAAGTTACGAAGCTGACAAGAGACCGTGCTACTTGAAGACCTGCCATCAGGTATATCGCGGCTTAACCCACACAAGCGTGGAAAATGGACGTAAAATGTTGATTGTGATAATGACGATGAGCATTAATAGCCACTGTATATCTTAATTAAGTTGCGGACAGATTTAACGTGTTGATCTGAATCATTACACGATAGTTTACTGTCTGTACTGCAGTTACGAACTGTTTAAACGACTTCGATCGTCAAGAAACTATATATATATATATATATATATATATATATATATATATATATATATATATATATATATATATATATATATATATATATATATATATATATATATATATATATATATATATATATATATATAAGTTGAGGGCGGCTGAACACCCACATTCATCACATGCTTGGATATCTCATCCTGAATTTGTTCAGGTATGAGCGATTAAAAGATAAGATGGGTATTTTTGGTAGTATTAAATGTATTTATAAGAGCTCCTTTTGATAACTATGTTATATATTTCAATAAACCAATTTCACATTTAGCATTCATTACTCACAATGGTGCCTTACAGCGAAGGCACTACACAACATATGTTGAGGAAAAAAAATGCGAAAATTGTTGCACTTAAGGGGAGGAAAAGGTGCCAACCACTCACCCCTGTGCTCAAATATTTTATCTTGAGGAAACCTTGTTTCCTGCCACCAGGTTACCGCTGTTGTCTTGGGTCGAGGCTATCGTTGATAATTTTCATCGTTGGCGATACAGTGAAGAGAGACAATGCCGAGAGCTCGTAATATTAATGAACTTCTTTAACACCATACTCAGGTGTGTGTGGGGGGGTGTAATAGTCAGCAAGTCGAGCGGACCCGGGTTCGATCCCCAGGCAGTGTGAAACTATGAGCAAGTTTCTTTACGCCATTTGCCTCTGTCTACCCAGCAGTAATTGGGAACCTGGATGTTAATCGATTTGCGGATCGTGTTCCGGGGGTAATTGTTATCCAGTTCAGTTGGCGAGTTGCCCGGTCTTCTCTGACTATTCCTTGACACAGTGTTATGCAACTCCTTAACTTAGGGTGTGGATATTGTGTTGGCGACAGCTTTTTACACTAAACAAACTCACGCCTAGGTGGCCCTTGGGCCGGC